TGATCTTTTAAGCTGTTTAATGCCACTCAGCGGGTGTTGCATGCATCAGTCCAAAAGCACTTAATTAAAATGCGCCCACCCATAAAAAAAAATGTCTCACACAGCTCCGGGGGGTGAACAAAGGCCTTCTGTAGCGAATCGATGCGTTTTTGTAAGAAAAATATCCATATTCAAAACTTAATAATCACTTTAATGCAGCTTATATTTTATGTTGCTATGGTCACGCAGGTTTGTGTGTGCATTAAACTCATGGCCACGAGAAAAATATGTCGTACCCTCAACATAAGAAGTCGTGGCCACGAGAAATGGATGTCGTTACCTCGACAAAATGATCTCATGTGTAGCGAATTTAACTCATGGGGAAATATGAATAATTAACCATAACTAATTATGATTAGTTATTAATATTTTAGATCCACTGTAGATATTTAGCTGACCACTCAGGGTCAACCGTCTTGTCAATTCTAAGAACGTTAATTTCCTGGTTAAAGGAAATAACTTTCTCGTAATTGGCCATTTGGTTAGGTGATGGGGAGTTCGATATTATTTGTTAAATATAACAAAAAGTTGTGTGTCTGATTGGTCCAAATGCTACACATGGCCACAACATAATATCACATTCCCACGACATATTATCACGTTCCCACGAATTATTATGTCGTGGCCACGACAAAACTAAGTTAACCGAACATGTCACCTCCCGGGCACCGTATAATACATGTCTACATTAATAATATAATAAAATTCAATACAAATACCCACATTTATGACACAATACCATAGTGCAGTTAGTGTTACTGTAAATGCATGGTCAATGATGGCGATTTATAGATTGAAAAGCCTTTTGACTGTATCGTTGCACACAGTGTTTCTCCTGTTTGTCAGCGCTGTTTCATCTGCCTTTAAACTAGTTAAAGCAGCGAGTCATTTGTGTTGTTCGCTAAACTCAAACGCTTCACACTGGATTCGCATCTGCTGGTAAACTCGTGCTGCTGTTATGAACCTTAAACTGAGTGGATAAATGGTCCGTGTGCCGTGATTCAAATGAGTCGTGCTCTTTCATTCCATTTTTGGCTCATGAACATTATATCGAACATTTGTCAAACTCTTCATATCGTTTTATCAAGGAAAATTATATCACGATAATTATCATTATCGATTTATCGCCCAGTCCTACCCTAACCATATAGTAAGTACATTTAGTTTGTAATATTACTCAGTACTTAAATGTATAATTACACTGTAACAACGACACCTTAAAATAAACTAACTTTATTTCAATTAATGAAAACAATTGTTTAATAGTTCTGTTATTAGTTAACCAGTGTTGGGCAGTAACGTGTTACTTAGTAACTTGTTACTGTAATTTGATTACTTTTTTAGTAACGGAGTAATTTAATGCGTTATAATTTTCAAAATAGTAATTAGAGTATAGTTACAAGCCGAGGCCTCTATACGTTACTGCCGTGTTACATTGCTGACAGAATGCAGTGTTTTATAATCTAGAGATTGTAAAAAGGATGTAGCATATGCACTGTCGAGACAAATGCCAGTGGATTTGAGACCTGCTCCTGCGAGACCCGATGCAACAGAGTGAAAGATGGGCGAGTGCTGGTGCGGGCGGGTAGACACTCATGTGTGTGCGGGATGCGGGAGAATAAAATGATTCACGGGACTCCCGCAATATAGAAATATCTAAACATAAAATATCTAAAACAAATAAATTGTTATTCATCTACTGCACAAAAGCAACATGAACTAATATAAAATATAAACGATTAACAGGTGCAAGCGTATGCAGAGTTTCTATTTAGGCTATAACACGCTTGCAGCGTTGAGCAATGCAGTGCTGAAATTTGCGTGCTCATGAATCCACTCATTATAACACACGAATTGTAGACGTTATGAAAGATTCATTATGCATATATTTATTGTGTTATAACAGAGATTTGTGAGATTGCGATGAACTGAGATGTCTTTTAGAGATAGGCCTAAATGCAGCGCTCTTTGCTGGCATTCTGCCATGCCAAACCATGCACGCAGCAGCCGCTCGCTTTAGTTAAAAATAACAGTGTTCTGTGAATGTTGATGCTTTAATAACAAATATTTATCGGGAGCGTGTATGCTGGGATTTCATAAATTTCATGGAGAAAAAAGTAACAGTAACTAGTAATGTAACTAATTAATTTTGAAATAAAGTAATCAGAACAGTAAGGTGATTACTTTTAAAAGGAGTAATCAGTCATTTGATTACTTTTACAGAGTAACTTGCCCAACACTGTAGTTAACAATAACAATGCTAGAATAATGGCATCAATTTCAGTCTGCTCCTCATTATATGGCTCCTGACGTCTTATGGAGAATAAATCATATGGACTACTTTATAGTGCTTTTCTTTATATTTTGTTGTTGTTGTTGTTGTTGTTGTTTTTGGAGCTTGACATGGTCGCTATAAAACGCTGCTATATGAAAAAGATGTGCATGAAAAAATCTAAGATGTCAAACAGATCTTCTGTTCTGCTTCTTTGCTCTTTGCCTTTCATTACCTGCATTATATTCAAGTCATAATATGTTTGAAAGCTGCAAGCCAGTGTGTGATATTTGGCTGTTTATGAGCAAGTGTTTCTGCATTAATATAGCTTGAATGTGGCCTGTGAGAGAGAAGAGACGTGCTGGGTCATAACAATCACTCATCTGCAGCTTTCTGCACATCTCATACGACAGCAGCCAGAGGTCATCCAGTGCTGTAGCAGGAGCATGACACAGCAGATTTCCTCATCAAAATATAGTATCTTTATTCTTCCTTATGCAAATACAGTGTTCTTTTTCTTAGCAATTAATATTTTTAGATTTGTATTTGTACTTCCTTTCACATGTTTTCCAATAACTCCTTCTTCAGACAAGTCTGCTTAATTTATGAGCCACACACAATAGCCAAAAAAAGTTCATTTTATAAGTTAATTTGATCTGAATGATCTGAATATTCATTATTTTATTTGTGTATTTGATACAAACTAGGCAGACGGTATAAAATAAGAGAGACTGAGACTAGTCTTCTGCATCGGTGCAAAGTTCAAACAGATAGGATAGATCTCACAGCTGCGCTCTAAATTATGACTCACACTGCGTCAGAGGGAGACCACACTGTCCCGATACTGACTCAGCGACTGCACATTTTCCCCCCCAAAAATAACAAAAAATTATTAGATCCCTGTTTATTTATTCATAATATAGTTACTTATTAATAATATAATTTTTATTGTTTTAATGAGCTTTCATCATTGTACTTACATTTCATTTTCTTTACTTTTTATTTCACTTACATTTCATTTTTCATCTAATTTATTTCTTATTTATTTCAGCTTTATTTGAGTTTTTTGTTGACAATAATAACACCGGTCTGTTTTGTTCATTTTCATCACCCAACCAACCCTAAGTGGTTGAAAGGTCATGTCGTTATGTTAAAGGATTGAGTTGCTTATTATGAGGAGCATATTGCAGTGTATCGTTGCTTATACTGAGTTGTGTCAGTTCCTTTTTAATTATTTAGATCATTAATCCCTCTTTTCCCTCAGCATGTGTCTCAGGATGCACAATGTAGCAGAAATCGCTGCTTTTTACCCTTCCTTTTCTCATTTCCTCTTTTGTCTGTTTCTCTCAAATGAAATATTCTAGCTGTATCAGGAATGAAAACTTGTTTAAAGCTTCTGGGCAGATCTTGATTTCACTGAGTAATCTGATTGTGAAAGTTAAAGCTCTATTATTTCTGTTGTCTGGCTTCGCACCAACGCAGAGTCAGAGACCAACCAGTCTGTGTCAGCACAATGTTAAATATATTACAGCTCCGCAAGCAATGCTGCTGCCAGGTCTGCTGAGTGTGAAGAGATCAGATAGATTCGATGAAATGGACAGATTCTTATTGTTTCCTTTTGACTTTGATGGCATGATCTGCTTCACATGATCCTGTAAGAGAAAAAAATGCAAACATTATGTTGACATCTTAAAGGGACAGTTCACCTAAAAGTGAAACCTTTTGAAATCATTTATTGTACCTCCTTAGGAAACTGCTGTTATGTAAATGAGATGAGGGTTGATACATGGTTTGATATAGAAAATCATTTCTTCAAGTCCAACTGACGACACTGTCTGTGTTCTTGTGTTTTATTCAGGCTGGCTGCAGCTGAGCTTTTCATGCTGTGCTGACAGGGAAGAAGACAGATCCAGCTGAAGAAGGAGAAAGGAAGGAGAGGACAGCTGACTCCATGTCTTCACCTTCAAATAAAAGATCTGGCTCTGGATCGCGCAAGTATGGCATCTTTTGTCTCTCTTCAAGTCTTCTTTCTAACAGACATTCTTTCAAACCTGCAGCTGTGTTGGTGCTTTGCTGTAATATCTAACCCTTCTAGCTGCTGTTTAACTCTCTTAATCACAGTAAGATCTCTGCTGCAGTTTAATGACCTTTTGAGCTTCATGTGCTTCAATAATCCTTTCTCTCTCTTTCTTCCGCTGCCGTCATTAATACATCAGCTGTTTAGCTCTTTCAGTTTCTCTCTCTGCTGTCAAGACCTTTTCACCATACAACTGCCAGATTGTATAAAAACTTCCTGAGGGGCCAGTTTAAAAGATTTATAAGCACATTAATGTACTTGGCTATTAAACACATACACACAAATATACACTATCGTTCAAAAGTTTGGGGTCCATATGATTAGTCTCTTATGCAAGGCTGCATTTATTTCATCAAAATACTGTAATATTGTGAACAAATATTATTACATTTTAAAATAACTTATTTTACTTACTTATAAATTATTTTAAAAAGTAGTGTATTCCTGTGATGGCAAAGCTGAATTTTCAGCATCATTACTCCAGTCTTTAGTGTCACATGATCCTTCAGAAATCATTCAAAAACGCTGATTAGCTGCTTAAGAAATATTTCTTATTATTATCGATGTTGAAATAGTTGTGCTTAATATATTTTGGAAACTGTTATACATTTTTAAGGATTCTTTGATGAATAGAAAGTTCAAAAGAACAGCATTTCTATGAAATAGACGTTTTTATAGAAATGCAAACGTATTTAGCTAAAGATCAATTTTATGCATCATTGCTAAATAAAAGTATTAATTTGTTTAAAAATCTTATTAGGAAAGGCAGAAATGATTTCAAAACAAATAACAAATTGAATCAAATTATAGAAGAAACATTATTCAACAAGCACATGGATAAAGCATGGTTTTTAATAAGCATATTTTAAATTATGACACAATGAACATAATTTCAAGTTCAAAGGTTTTGCATTCCTTTTATTGTGTGCATCTCAGAAATAAGATGTCTAGTGTAACTTTAAACTAAGATACAACATCATGCATATCTTCCAATTTAGTGATATATAACACTAAATAGTTACATCTAAAAATTCCACACATTTCCTGTGTAAGCCACGCCTGTGTGCAATTCTGTCTAAATACAGATGATTTTATAGTGGCAATGAGTTTTAATGGTAATATTGCAGTGGAGCCCAGCTCTGTGCCTCTGTCTCATCTCTGTTTCCTCAGATTCAACCTGCTGAAGGCCCTACAGCCTAAGCACCGCTTGCAACAAATGCTGTCATCTCCCACTGCATCCCCTGTGTGAGACTCTGATTCCGTACCCTATAGTAGGGCATGACTGTAGTAGTCAACACTGCTGCACTGGGCATACACACGCCAATTTCAAACCAGCCCATTACCTGGTACCACTGATGCTGATGTTGGGGATTTGAGAGGGCAGTTTACGCTGAACTCTCCGGTCTTTGACAGAGGCTCAGAGGAAGAGCAAATGGATAATTTAATCATCTGTAAATCTGTTCCATGAGAAGCCATTTTGGCTGTGATTGAAATGATAATCTGTGAGATCGACAATGAATGTGATATTTTCACAGTGATTCTAATGAGTGTGTGGCAATGCAGTGCACATATTCACTACACAGTACCCGACTTTCCCTCAATTAGTCCATATCACTGAAAACATAATGGACGTACCTGGTCTGTCCAACTACCCTGGCTGCTTTTCTCTTTCTCCTTTCTTTTCCTTGCTATCAGTATTGATAGCAGAGTCACTCCTCAAGCACGCTTTGTTTGTTTCGGGTCTTTCACTTTGCTTTTATTTTCTTTGCTTTGCTCTCACCTTAACCATGACCTTGGCTTGCTTTCATGGTTAGGTAGTTCAGCAAACCTTTTATAGCCCACCAATGGTGGTCCTGGTGGACAGTAGTTATAGTGGCTTGTCATTGTAAATGTGCTGTTTTGATTGGTCTATTTTTATATAACATGTTGAGCTGTTTAACTCAAGAGAAATATATTTAGAGTTATTTTAGTGTTGTTTATATACTATTATATAATTTATGAATATTTTAGATTGTATTTTTATATTTTCAGTTTTCATTTTAATGTAAGTTTTAGTAATGTTTATGTGTATCATTTTTATTAGTCATTATTTAAAATTATTATGTTCTGTTTAGCTTTAATAGATTTTAGTTTTAGTAATTCAGTGGTATAAGGTTCAACTGATATAAGGTTTTTAGTGGTTGATGCTGACATTGATATTTACTCAAAACTCACTCACAAAACTGAAATAAAAATGACCAAATATCAGTTCAATAATATCAGACTATCACTGGATTCAAAGTTATCCATCATGCCTGTAAAAACAGCACTCTGCACCACCTAAAGGAAGTGCTTTCTTTCAGCGCTGCTAACCCCAGATTTAATTTTTCCAAAAGAGAATGTTTCTGGGAGATTAAAGAGTCCTTGAAATCAGTTAGATAGTTAGAATCTCTTTTTCGTTTACATAAAAGGGACTTTTAATGCCAGCAAGGATGAAGGAAACAGTGTAATTCTGTCCAAAGTAATTTAGTAAGCCTTTGTATAATATATATGTCCAGCATGATTTTTTAATTCTTTTAAGTGTGGCAAAGTGGCTCTGATCCTTCCCAGCCCTGTGAGAGTTTTTCTGACAACCAGAATTAATAAGAAGCTCATTTTTATGTTTCTCTCTGTCCTCCCCTGACTGCTGACTTAATGAATTAGTCTGACAATCTGTCAAGTAATCTGTCAGATCTGCAACCCTGTGTACAGTTTCATGATCTTAATGAAACAAGCTTCATCGCAAGTTAATTTCAGTTGGATGTTTGAAATGGACTTTAGAGTGACATCAACCCAAAGGTTGCTTACTTTAACCAAATATTATGTAAATTGCAATCAATCAAAATTGTAATATTGGGTGTATCAAACCAGGAATTTCAATGACAGATGTATACATAATTTTCAGGAAACTGGGGAAAAAATTGTGGATACAAATAGAGCATAATGAAAAGCTTACAACCCAGTCTGTATAAGTGGCAGATGATTACTTTTTTTGTAGCACAACTGCTTCTACCCAGTCCCATCCCATGTTTATAAACTACTTTACAAGAAAATGTCCACAGAAACATTCATTTGAATTTTTATACAAAACAGGTTAAGGTGAACTTTAGGTATGTGCGCTATCCTGTGTAATGATTCCTTTTTGTTTGTGGGTCAGTTTTGACTATTGCAGGTTTATAGAGCTAGACTACACACCCATGGAGTCAGGCATTATGGTCTCTATGAGACAGAGCAGAGGATTTCTGACACCAAAGTCCCCGGAACACCACTGTCGGTCAGCGCTCCATCATCCCTTCTGTCTCGTTCTTTTTTTTCTTTCTCTTCTTTTCTTCACTTATCTTTGTTCTCTGTGTGGCATTGTGTCAGCATGGATTCAAACTCTTCAACCACAGCACGATGTCCCTATAAAATCAAACATTTTGATTTTACTGGGGGTTTAAAGCTCGAATTGCATAGCCTATGTGTGTCAGAGTTGAAAATGATTTCATGTCTGTGGTGTGCAAAGTGAGCTCTCATTAGATGGCTCTGCATTCAATTTCTGCTTGTGCAGCTGCCAGTTTGTTTCTCATAATTGATTCATGATGGAAATTTATCATGATTTGTCATCTGTGCCTCAGCACATAATTCAACTGTTTGTATTACTTTGCAATTTGTGCTTGCAGTTTTATGTGAGCTGGGTGTCTTTTCTTTTTTTCATCCATAAAAGGTGTTCTCCCCCTAGTTGACTGTATGTATGGAGGCATGTTAGTCAATTTGTAGTAGGCATGTTTGATTTTGTGATTCATGGAATTGTACTTTTTGTTTGTTCATGTTAGTGTCTGTTTGTGCATTCTGTTTATTCCTCATCCTGCGTCCCCCTAAGTGGCCTTGAAGGTGACACTCTGAAATTGTGATTCTGTTACGCTACAGACGGAGTCCAGCACCTGTCAGTAACCGTGATCCCTATGGAAATGCCTCTCTCAGCAGCAGTAGCAATTCAGGGTCATGCAAGGGCAGTGACGGAAGCCCAACCCATAGGTTAGACACAACTCACCCATATACCAGTGATGCATTGCATCTTTCTCTTCTTTCTTGTTTGATTATATGTAGTATATACCACTTTTCTTATCCATATCAGGCGTCACATAAAATACACCTCCTGCAATGATAACCATGGTATCCGGCCCCCTCCACCTGAGCAATACCTTACCCCACTGCAACAGAAAGAGGTGTGTATCAGACACCTCAGAGCACGGCTCAAAGAAAGCATCGAAAGACTGCAGGACAGGTGAGGCATGAATCATTCATAAAATGAGGGCCCATGCACTAATGATCTCATCAGTCTATGAAGAAATTAGTTTTATCTTTAAGCAGCTTTGAGTGGCAGTTAATTCAAGTTATTCCTTTATTTGGAATTGTTATGCAAATTTGCACTTGGTTGATTTCTAGACCAATTATCCAATTATCTATCAAGTCACTAACTGCTGAATATTAGCATTTAGACTGTGTAATTTGTCATTTATTTCCCTCTATTCTAAGGACTCTAATCTAAATATTTATTACTTTTCTAAACTGTTTATTTTAAAGGCAGCTTCCATTTGTCTAATAGCAAGGAGATTTTAATGTGCTTTTAAAGCTGTTTTGTGTAATGCTCTGAAGAGAGCCATTGGTCAGCATTTCCGTTTATCACAATGGCAGTTGTTCACCTGGTCCTGTACATGTTTGCTTACTGCGCTCAGTATTGGGCACACTACTTTTTAAGTCAATTACCTGAGCCATAAAGGTCATGTGACATTATTCTAGGCACATTCCCCTTCTCCCACTGGTCAAACGAATAGAAGGTCTTTCCCCAAACTCAGACAATTGTTGAAGCCATTGTGTTACTATGTTGGGCAACTCCAACTTAAACTTGTCACCATGTTCAAGAAAAGTACAATTTTCAAAGAAAGTAAACTATCAGTCAATGCCATATAGTTGGCAAGCCACATTGTACTGGGATAGAAAAAATATTAAGTGAAAACATTTCACACAGCAGTTTTAATTTTGGTCTTTGACCCACCAGTCACTTCTTGACATTCCTTCCTTGCTTTACTCTTTTGACATCCTCTGTCTTTTTTCCCCTCCTTCCTTAGGGACACTGAGATTGATGAGTTGCGTACTCAGCTGTCTCGTATGCAAGAAGATTGGATTGAAGAGGAGTGCCACCGCGTGGAGGCCCAGCTGGCTCTGAAGGAGGCTCGCAGGGAGATCCAGCAGCTTAAGCAGGTTGTTGATGTTGTCAGATCCAGTCTGGGAGACACTGACACTGGAGTGCAAAAGTGCTTCCAAGACATAAACCTCCAGAACCACAAGCTGGAGTCTTTATTGCAGAGCATGGAGCTGGCTCAGATCGGGACCCCCAAAACAGGAGAAACTCTGGCAGGTGGAGGGGTGGTGGGGGCAGGGCTGGAGGTCAGCGAGGGCCTGGCGGAGTCTTCCGAAGGCTCCCCAGCTCGCTCGCTTACCCGCAGCTCTACCTACACCAAGCTAAGTGACCAGACTGGCCAGGAACATGGCGGTAATGAAAATGGGTGTGACATTCCATGTTTGTCAGGTGAGGGTACGCAGGACAGCGGGTTTGTTTGCTGTGGAGAAAGTGGAAGAGGAGCAAGTAAGACAGACCTGCTCCTGGAGGCTGCGTTTTTGTCTCAAGAGACAGCCTCGCTGCTCAATGCGTACTCCCGCCTGCCACACTCCTCCACATATGAGGCACTGAGCATCAGCGAGCCGAGAGTTGTGCCACTCCGCTGCAGTGGGATCGGGACGGGGACCACTGTTAGTGTAAGTCATCCATGTCTGTCGCATCATCACCTATACCTGCATCACCTGCGTGAGCAAGGCATTCAAACCGACTACGACCATGACCCTGCTTCGGCCCATGCCCATGGTCCCAGTACATCCTTTAACTCTGATCTGGACACTATTGCTGAGCGCACCTTCCGCTCCCAGGCATGCAGTCCGACATCTACCTGGATGTCTGATGAGGGAGATGATCTGGAGTCAGTAGCCACAGAATCAGCCATTATGGCAACAATTGCCACAGCTTCTGTCATCACAGACTTTTCCACTAAGTCTGCACCAGCTGTTGCAATGGAGCCTTGGTCACCAACTGTATCTGTTCCAAAAGGACCTGCGAATTTAGCGTTGGAGTCCTCTGTCAAGGAAACAACTGTTTCAGAGCTCCTTACAGTCTTACCAATCACCACAACAGCTTTGACCACAGAGACCATTGGATCCCAAGTAACCAACTCTGTTCAACCTCAACCTGTAACAGACCCTTTGCCAAACCCTTGCAACTCCCCTTGCTCCGTGCAGCCATTGATTGAGACTGAAGGAGAGCCCCTTGCACAGACCACTCAGCCTCGTAGTGTACTAACAGACGCTGGGGATGAAGGGGATCATGTCATAAATATAGGTTCAGAAGATGAAGATGAGGTTGACGAGAGTGCTACGAGCACAGAATCCATGTCGTCTGGCTGTGGTTTACCAGCAAAGAAATACTGGAGCCGGCACTTCCTAGTGGATTTGCTTGCGGTGGTCGTGCCAGTGGTCCCCACAGTGGCGTGGCTCTGTCGGGGTCCACACCGTGTTGGTCAGCCAATGTACCATATTGGTTCTCTCTTGCGAGGTTGCTGCACTGTGGCTCTCCATTCCCTGCGTCGAGGAGGAGGCATTCGGCACTACCCAGCAGGAGGAGGTGGTCCAGGGGGAATGAGTATATGAGACCAGCTTTTCTCTCTGGAGAAGCCTTGAAGCCCTTCTGTCAGATGTGCAATTAGGGAATGGTTAACACATGTAAAATGAATTGAGGCAACCAGTGGAATGATAGTGTCTGAGCACAGCACCTTAATGCTGTGGTTCTCTATGGTCTATATCCAAGACAAGATAAGAATGAGGAAGGGGAATCACTAGCATGTATTTACACCTACAAATGAGATGCTAATGAAGTTCAGGACTTCAAACGAGCTTTCACCTTTTTCCACAAATACTACCCTGAGTGAAGATGCGAGATGATGTGTTCTGAATGATGGACTGACACAATGACATTAACTCAGCTTTGTGAGTGACACTAAAAGATCCCCTTTAATATGATTGCATTGCCCTTATTTACAGTGAAGAGACGCAATAGGTGATGGGAAGAAACTTGTCCTTTTGTGCATCCCTCTTACTGTCACCAGAGGGTGTGTGTCGTATGTGTGTGTATTGATTTTTCTGAGCGAGTGTTGTGTTGTGTTAATGTACAGTGCAGCCAAAGTACCTGGATTACTAATGGCCATCATTGTTGTAGCCGTGAGTGCAGTAGTTAGCTGTCCCATTACTCATGCCTGTGTGGCATAAGAGAAGAACAGTCATCTTTCCCCCTTAACGAGCCAGGCAAGCGCCTGCTGAGCTATTTATATGCTTTGCATATACCACTAGTGTCCTAGATGTATGCTGTCACAAAATGATACTTGGTCCATCTGGAGTATTTTAGATAATGTATTCTTTATACTAGGCTCAATTATGTGGGGAAAGTTTGATGGTTTAGAAATACTCTGTATAGTTGAATGCTAAATTGTGTATTTAGGAAAAGGGTAATGCATTTTAAGTAATAATATGAACAGTAAGAAAGATTCAGCGTTTAGACAATGATCAGGGTGAAATGACTTTAATAGGGTCATGGGAGCTTTTTCACCAGAAATGAATTTTATGATTTTGTTTCACTGTGTGATTTTCACTGTGTGCCCATCAAAAAACTGTCATAGCCAGATGTTTTTGGATGAAATACTAATCTTTAATAATAGGTCTAATTTTCATGTTCACTGTTAGTCTAGGTTATATAATTACAGCCGGATGTGGTTGGCAACAGCTGGCATGAGAGTTGCTAAATGCTAAATAAGGAAACTGCTGAACTTAATTTAGTATTACACCCTGCTAAACAAGACTATTAGTACTAATGTTATTCAACGTTAGCTAATATTTTATTTCCGAAATACTATGTGACATAATTCCACTAAAAAGATCAAAGAAAGCAAAAAATGTGTTTTGTATTGAGTTACTTGGTTAAGAAGTGGAATATACAAATTGATGAACTATCTAAGCTTAAAATTTAAAACAGTGAAAGTAAATTAAATACATACTGCATGCAGAAATTTACACCTACAAATGAGATGCTAATGAAGTTCAGGACTTCAAACGAGCTTTCACCTTTTTCCACAAATACTACCCTGAGTGAAGATGCGAGATGATGTGTTCTGAATGATGGACTGACACAATGACATTAACTCAGCTTTGTGAGTGACACTAAAAGATCCCCTTTAATATGATTGCATTGCCCTTATTTAGAGTGAAGAGACGCAATAGGTGATGGGAAGAAACTTGTCCTTTTGTGCATCCCTCTTACTGTCACCACAGAGGGTGTGTGTCGTATGTGTGTGTATTGATTTTTCTGAGCGAGTGTTGTGTTGTGTTAATGTACAGTGCAGCCAAAGTACCTGGATTACTAATGGTCATCATTGTTGTAGCCGTGAGTGCAGTAGTTAACTGTCCCATTACTCATGCCTGTGTGGCATAAGAGAAGAACAGTCATCTTTCCCCCTTAAGGAGCCAGGCAAGCGCCTGCTGAGCTATTTATATGCTTTGCATATACCACTAGTGTCCTAGATAAATGCTGTCACAAAATGATACTTGGTCCATCTGGAGTATTTTAGATAATGTATTCTTTATACTAGGCTCAATTATGTGGGGAAAGTTTGATGGTTTAGAAATACTCTGTATAGTTGAATGCTAAATTGTGTATTTAGGAAAAGGGTAATGCATTTTAAGTAATAATATGAACAGTAAGAAAGATTCAGCATTTAGACAATGATCAGGGTTAAATGACTTTAATAGGGTCATGGGAGCTTTTTCACCAGAAATGAATTTTATGATTTTGTTTCACTGTGTGATTTTCACTGTGTGCCCATCAAAAAACTGTCATAGCCAGATGTTTTTGGATGAAATACTAATCTTTAATAATAGGTCTAATTTTCATGTTCACTGTTAGTCTAGGTTATATAATTACAGCCGGATGTGGTTGGCAACAGCTGGCATGAGAGTTGCTAAATGCTAAATAAGGAAACTGCTGAACTTAATTTAGTATTACACCCTGCTAAACAAGACTATTAGTACTAATGTTATTCAATGTTAGCTAATATTTTATTTCCGAAATACTATGTGACATAATTCCACTAAAAAGATCAAAGAAAGCAAAAAATGTGTTTTGTATTGAGTTACTTGGTTAAAAAGTGGAATATACAAATTTATGAACTATCTAAGCTTAAAATTTAAAACAGTGAAAGTAAATTAAATACATACTGCATGCAGAAACAAATTTTAATTTAGAATTCTCTGCTTTCAGCTTTTTCCAAACATTTGGCAATGACTTCATGTACCCTATGAAGTTCATGTTGACCATTTATTTGACTGACACTTAGGTGACGGGCGACATTTAATGACATGTCAATTGCACAATAATTCACTTTATAAGCAATTACTTGAAGTATACTTGATTGTGAGTTTCTGTCTGTCCAAAGGCCAATGCATACATGTGGATTTGTGGTTCAGGGTTAGATTTCACCAACACCACCATTTCAAAAAAATCAACATTGATTCATAAATTCATGTGAATATTTATACTTTGTGTATATGTGACAGCTGGATTGATTTGCCAGTCAACAGTGTACCAGATAATCAGCCAGATGATCACTATTGTAGTTATTTGTGTCTCTCATATTGTCTTATCTTCTGTCCCTCAAAATCATGAATAGCCGCTGCCTTTCTGTCTACCTCCTCCCTCTGATAGTATGTATAGTATAATTTACCGCTTTCTGTTGTGCAGATTTGATGTGGCGTCTGTAAGGTTTTTCAGCGCTTGATATTTATTCTTTTAACTGCTTGACAATCTTAATTTGTGCTTTAAGTGGTGGTCAGTGGGCATATAGTCTAGTCTCTGCACTTTTTCACCTCATTCCAACTGAGCACTTATTAAATAACCTTACAATAGATTTAAAGAAATGAAGGCATATATGTTCCTGATATATATTTTTTTAATTTTAATTTCATGTATGTTGAAATTATGAATGTGTGGCTTTCAGATAGTTCTGTTTTTTGGCTTATCAGAATATGTATCTGAGGTTAAATGAGATTGCAATCAATTGTTACCCCAAGAACAGGAGGTTTCCTCCAAACTGCTACTGTCTGTCAATGAAATGTACGTAAATAACTATTACATTAGTTATTTGGCTGGATAAATGTTGTACGCTGATATAAAGCTTTGTATATCTGTTAAAATGACACACAAGGCCTTGATAAGATTTTCTTGAATTTTCTGAAGCCATATTACAAGCAAAGATGAGTATGTTGGCCCTGTATGCTGGTAAATTTGAGTAATATTTATATTTTGTCATGTATTGTCATATCACAGTTTTTTCCATTTTGTATGAGTGTTTGCAATTTAATGTGAGAATGCATGTGTATATGGATATCCGTTCATTTTTATTTCTGCATTTGGATGGCAATTAAAAAATCACAGATTATTTGCTTTAAAGAGTCCCATCCTCCATTAGGATCTACAGATCTCAATACATGTTAGTTTACTAATAAGGTCTTTATTTTCTGAAGCTAGCAGGCTCTCCCTGAATTGTCTGAACATTCTAGCAAAGTGACAGGTTTTTCTCCATATCCACAGTTTTTATAGCATTTTTGGGGAGGATTAAGAAAAACATATCCAAGTTTGATGTCAATGTCAACTGGCACAATTTTTGTTTAGAATGTACTTTTGTAACCACAAAATGTCTTGTAACATGCATATCTTGTTGAATCATTACTCTCCAATAACACTTTTTAGGGTAAGCTGGCAATGGATAATTTGTTTCTTTACCAATGTGTATCACATTCGAATATGGTTTAAAGACATTAGCACTGCATATTTTCTGTAAATTGTTGGGTTAAATGGAAATAGCCTCCAACAAGACGAAAGTGATAAGCCATGCTTTTTTCTTTCAGAGTGAATATTGAAATTGGTGGCAAACTGACACATCAGTCTGTTAAACAGGATTATACGACTGTGCCTAGAAGATTAGATCTCACAAATGTACCTTTGTTATAGAGGGTTTTTTTTCTTAAATGGTCATTCTAATGACGTGTTTACATCTTCACCTGGCACTTCAGTTTTGTCTCGGTGTTGTCTAACAGGATCAGCACCCTAAGTGGAACCAGTCTTGTAAGTCTGGTAATGTTTCATAGTGTCTCAATATTTTTGTGTAGAATATTTTAATGGTAATATTAGTGTGTACAGACATCACTGCAACACATCGCTCTTGACCCTCATTGTTCTGTAAAAGGATCTATATTAAACAGCATGGTGAACAAATGTTTATACTGTATTGATAGAAATGACTGACCTGTCACGGACAATGAGCTCGATGCGCTGTTCAGCTGCTGCCTTCAGAGCTTTGTGGGCCTTATCTGAGCTCCAGCCAGCAACGTTCTGCCCATTGATCTGCAGAACCTGATCTCCAAAACGCAGGCCACCCAACGCCGCAGGAGAGTTCGCCTGCACCAGCTGGACAAACACTCCCTACAGAAAGAGGAAATGACACACATGAAAGATAATAACACCTCAACCTGCTGGTGATGATAAGAATGACAGATCTGCTCAGAATGAGGGTGTGCTGCCCTAAAACATTACCGATTAACCTACATACCAATTACACACTCAAAACAATGAAACACGACGCTAACTCCGAGGAAGAGTTTAATGCAAAGAGCTTTACTCACATTATCGATATCTCTGAGTCGGAGTCCGACCTTTCCTTCGTGGTCTTTGCAGATGATGACCTCCCGAAGACCTGGATGAATCTCTGCCCTCCTGATACCCATGTCTGCACCGGTCACGGGCCGCACCATGCCACCCACAGAACTTGGCACTGCCACTTGCTGCCAAGCAAGAGAAAATTTGTATTTATTCTCATACGTGTGAGTGCATTATTCACATATACGACATGAAAAGTTAACCGTGGCCCATGCAAATGGTCTAATGCAGTACTTTCCAATCAGTGGGTTCTCCAAAACATTTATATATTGCCTTGTCAAAGCTGTAAAGCTTATTAAGAATTCATGACCTACAAATATGTTGTCAGTAGAAGATAACTAAGAAACACCTAAATACTACAATAAAGGTTCAATTTTAATGTTACTTAATATATTAACTAGAAATGTTAATATAGGTTCATGTTAATTTGTAAATATTTTAATAAATCTATTTATTTTTATTTATTTGCATTTATGCCTTCATTATGATAGGACAGTAGAAGCTGTGACAGGAAGTGATAAGAGGGGTGTAAAACTCAAATTAGTTGAACATTAGTGTTACATGACAGCGTTTTGTGCTTTCCCTCCCCTTTTGTTATTGCTAGTTTTGCTAAAGTTTTCTTGTCTCTCTACTCTCTGCTGTTTTTCTTCTTTAGGTTTTGCCATTGGCTGGCTGGACTGTCAGGATCTGTATTTGTGACAACCAATCACGAATGACAGCTCGGTATTTAAGACGTTCAAGCTTGTGCTTCGAGAGCGAGGCGGAGTTGGGGCTTGCTTCGCCGTTGCTAATTTTTGCTGCTATTAGTCTCTCTCTGTATGCTACTCTTACGACTGTGTGTGGTTCGCTCCTAACTGTTTAGTCAGGGGACGCCTTCCCTGATCTGTGTTACACCTTCCTGGAGAGAAGAGTGACAGGTCTGCCTTTGTTAAACACACCAGGTCAGGAGCGTGTGCCACTTTATGTATCTTTTGTTTTAGGACAGTATAGGTTACTTAGGGCGTATGACGCCGAAGATTCGTGTTTCTTTTCTTTCGTTTGTTTTCAGTTAGAACAGAGGGAGGGGTTTTTAAGTTAGCACCTTCTGTTTTGTTATTTTCTCTAATTTAGCACTGCTCATTCTCTTTCTCTCTGTGGTCAGTTTTTTTTTTTCTTTTGTTGTTTTGATTAAGTATAGTTTCTTATGTATAGTTGTAAATAGGCTCATGGTTTATAGCACGATTTGCATTTAGCTTTCACATGCTGGGTTGTAAATATTTATAATCTGTTAATAGAGCGAACCACCTATATTTGTTGTGAAACTTCCAGTTGTTTTGGCTTCGGTCATTCCCTGTGTTCCTCATTATTTGTGTGTGAACAGTAGGGGTGCTTGTCTGCGTTCCCCTTTTCCCCTAGACCACCACACCACTAGTGAACGTAACAATTAGCAATAGTATATTTACACAACAGTTCAAAAGTTGGGGGTCAAAAAGGTTTTTTTTTTTTAATTAATACTTTTATTCAGCAAGGACACATTAAACTGATCAAAAGTGACAGTAAAGAAATTTATAATGTTAAAAAAAAAATTCTTCTACAAATAAATGCAATCTTAATGAGCATAAAAGACTTTAAAAACATTTAAAAATCCTACAGACCCCAAACTTTCGAATAGTAATGGTAGCCTAAATCAGTGGTTCCCAACCCTGGTCCTGGAGGCACCCCAACACTGCACATTTGGCATGTCTCCTTTCTCTGACACACCAATTTCAGGTCTTGGAGTCTCTACTAATGAGCTGATGATCTGAATCAGGTGTGTTTGATTAAGGAGACATGCAAAACATGCAGTGTTGGGGTGCCTCCAGGACCAGGGTTGGGAACCACTGGCCTAAATGGTGTGTGTGTATGTAATATGTAATATGTAATAATTATTTTTTGTATTTTTATTTTTTTAATATTTTTTTTTTTATTAGGACTGTCAGTTTAACGCGTTAACTTAATTAGTTATGAAAAATAACGCGATTAAAATATTTTAACGCAGTTAACGCACTGGCCCCATCCCCAAACCTGTACATCATCTTACATTTCATATAGTTTGACGGTTGACAAAAATGATGCAGGGCAACAACCCCATAAACAAAGTTATGCCCTAAAATTCAAGATATTGGGGCAAAAATGCCCCTTTATGAGTTTTGTCTCTTATTTATACCATGATAAGCATATTACACCATTACAAGAGCAATATCACACGAGTACCGTTTTTGTCACGAAGAACACGAGCGCAAATCATAGACATAAGGTGATTTTATACAACAGTTCAGTAAACAAGAGGTTTATATTGCGTTATATTTTAAACACAATATTGTGTGTTTTTGTTCAATATTGCCACAGAAAAATGCCTATAAAGCCACAGCAGAACTGTTGTGCATCTGTGAGCAACACAGCGGTGTTTAGTTTCTGAATTAATTCACGTGAACGAATCTTATGAACCAGTGATTCAAAGGCCCATTCATAGGCTGCATCCGAAAACTCTAAAATGCTGCCTTCGGAGGCAGCATTCCAAGGCAGGAAGGCAGCAAGGCACGTCTGAATCCAAATTCTACTTTACTTCCTGTCTCCGGAGGTACCTTCTTCTGATCGAATTTTGAAGGCAGCATAGATGTATCCTTCGCTGCCTTTGATATCCCACAATCCTGTGCATTCCATTCTGTGACAGTTGAGTTAATAAATAAAGATGGCGTCTGAAAGTTGCTTTTGGTGGTCAGTTTGTGTATAGATGTATATTTCTGACTAACTTTTTGCACTTTTGATGTTATTTCTAGTGAGAAATCAATATTATAGTACTTAAATATTTGTTTAGTTATCACAAAACTCGTTCTATTTTGTTGTAGATCATTAAACCGTAACGCTGCCTCAGAAGCCTGTCCGAAATCAGTTTCATGAGGTACCTTCGTGCAAAAACACTGCCTGAAAAGTCATTGCCTCATATGGCAGCGAGGCAGCAAGTCAGCTGCCTAAGTTTTCGGATTCAGTCACAGAGAGAGCCGTTTACTTCATTCCTGCATGAATCAGCCATTTGAACGAATCGAAGGAATAAAGACATTTACCGCCACCTGCTGGCAGTTTTATTTTCTTCTTTAGAGTAGGCCTATTATTTCATTTATAATAAATAAAATAAAAAACATTAAAGGGATAGTTCACCAAAAATAAATAAATAAATAAACAGTCATCATTTACTCACCCTCATGTTGTTTCAAACCTGAATGACTTACTTTCTTTTGCACAACATAAAATAAGGTATTTTGAAGACTGTTGGTAACAAAGCTGTTTTAGTTCCCAGTGACTTTCATTGTATGAACAAAAAATAGAGATGTTTCACAAATTATCTTCTTTTATGTTCCATAGTTTATGTTAGGCTGTTGTAGCCTAAACATTTAACTATTATTGTGTTAAATTATCTTTTGGGGGTATTTTCACAGCCAAATTTAATTAGCGATTAAATAAATCGCAGCACCCTGTAATGAATTATTTTAAAACAATTGAATCGACTGACAGTCCTAATATATATATATATATATATACACACACACACACACACAGTGGGTACGGAAAGTATTCAGACCCCCTTAAATTTTTCACTCTTTGTTATTTTGTTATATTGTGCTAAAATCATTTAAGTTAATTTTTTTTCCTCAATGTACACACAGCACCCCATATTGACAGAAAAACACAGAATTGTTGACATTAAATGTCAACAATTCTGTGTTTTTCTGTCAATATGGGGTGCTGTGTGTACATTAATGAGGAAAAAAAATTAACTTAAATGATTTTAGCAAATGGCTGCAATATAACAAAGAGTGAAAAATTTAAGGGGGTCTGACTACTTTCCGTACCCACTGTGTGTGTGTATATATATATATATATATATATATATATAAACACCATTCACTATAACTGATACCAAATGTCTAATGTGAATGAATTACTGTAATAAAATAATGTTTTTTCGGTTTCTTTTTATGGAACAAAACTAGATATTGATAATAGAATGAGCTATAAGGCAAGTCGGTTTTTGATATCCAGTATTAGTGAAAAGATTAATACATTAGTGTTTTTTTGTTGATTAAGAGGTATTTGGGCCTTATTAATGGGGCTATGAGGATCTTTGACACAAAAAGATGCAAAAAGGGAGATGCTGGTCTAATGTTCAGTACTATGAACACTGAGTATCTTTTTAAGATGCTCTCTGAAAGCAGCCTACATTAGCATTACTCCAACACATGCCTTATGGTGCATGAGTCATTCTGAGCTCTGCTTCCAGGAATGATGCTGAAAAGAATAAGACACCCTGTGGCCAGTTTGAACTATTCAGAGAAAAATAACAAAACCCCCCCCCCAAAAAAACCTCCCAAAAGCACAGATGCTAACACACATACACAACCACCGCCACCTCCTCTTTTTCAAATCTTACACAATTACTCTTGGCTGCTTTAACAGAGAAAATATTGTACAAGACAACCGTGACAGAGATGGAAAAACAGGCTGTAGAGCAAACTAAATCAGGAAAGAGTAACAGCACTGCTAGGGAAACATTTGAGACTCTGAAATGTCATTGTTTGCATATATTAAATATTTCTTTATGAGTGCCGATACTTAGAGGGAACTGAACTCTAAAAATAAACAGGCGTGTTCAGTGACAATCACTTACATTGTCAGCCACCGGGACCAGCGCAAGGTTTCTCTGGACCTCATCGCTGTTCAGACGGAGGCCCATATAGTCACCCAGCTCCTCCAGATTGGGATACAGAGCTGAGGGAGAGAAAGATTATCCATATAACACAGACAAAGCTAGCAGCTAACATAATAGCATAGTGATGTAGTTTATTTGAGTGTGTTTTATGACAGCATCAAGTGAAAAAAGCAGAACATAGAAAAACAGAGAACTAGGAAGAACAGAGAGTTCAAGTGTCGACACTCAGCCAGTCGCTGGTTTCAGATTCTGGCAATGAATGTTTCCATCCAGTAATTATTTCCTGAGTTGAGTCATGACTACAGTCCTCCCCTCTTTTCCTCCTGCTTTATCCAGCACTCAGATAGGAAAATGTCCGCCTATGAAACATGTTCCTACACAAACAAACTAGCACACCAGTCCGTCTCTAAATTTCTACACTGGACCTGATGATGGTGGGAAAAACCCAGACATGCATTTATACAGCTACATACCGCTATATATATATATATATATATGGAAATATTGCACATATATGTGTAAAATGAGAATTGTTCAAAAGTTTGGTTACTTCTATTCAGCATGGATCAAAAGTGATAATGTCACAAAAGATTTATATTTCAAATAAATGCTGATAAATTCTTTTGAACTTTCTATTTATTAAAGGGGTCATGAACTGAGAAACCAAAACTCCCTTGATCTTGTGACATAAGAGGTCATTGTACTATAAAAACATCCTGTAAGTTTCCAAACTCAAATCTTAGTCTAAAAACAGCTTATATTGAAGGCCGTCTCGCAAAACCACAGCTTGTGGAATGTTCTACTCTATTATGTTTTAGTGTGGATGAGCACCGCCTCCGCAGAAGAAGATCGACATGTCGGCGCCAATAGCCTTGTGGTTAGTGCAACTGTGCGGAACACTAACCCGTCTCGAGGTCCTTTGCCAATCCTGCTCCCCTCTCTCCACCCAATGCTTTCCTGTCTACTCTCTACTGTCCTTTCCATTAAAGGCATAAAAGCCCATAAATATAACTTAAAAAAGAAGAAGATCGACATCACTGTCTGTTAAGCCCTGCCAACCGATTCGGACAAGTAGTGTTTATAAGAGAGGCGAACGTGCAGGTCTATGCAGAAACCAAACGATAAACATGCTCTGAAGACAACAAGACCCTGTTCAGTGCCAAGTTGTGGCGGAAAAAAAACAGTGTTTGCGTTGCCTTCCTTCTGATCCCAACATTAGGAAAGAGTGAATGAACTTTATTTTTAATGAAGAATCAGACCGCATCAGTAAGAACTCAGTCCTTTGCTCCCTTCATTTTACAGTGGATACGTTTACAAACAAGACACAATGATGATGTCCATCTATGATGAATGAATGTATGCTGTTAGCCAATCATAGCAGTGGGCGTTTACTTCCGAGTCTACAATCCGTCACACGTTCAAACGGGGCGTTCTGTTGAGGGGGGTTAAAACAGGACAGAAAATAGCTTATTACTACTAAATTATAAGTTTTTTGATGTAAAAATCTTGATAACATTATAAGTGGACCTCACAGAACAGTACAAAATAAAAACAAAGGCAGTTCATGACACCTTTAAAGGATCCTAAAAAAGTATCAGTTTCCACAAAAATATTAAATATTCTTTTTTTTTTTTTTTAAAGAAACCGTTTTCAACATTGATAATAATACTAAATATTTAAGTAGCAAATCAGTATATTAGAATGATTTCTGAAGGATCATGTGACACTGAAGACTGGAGTAATGATGCTGAACATTCAGCTTTGCCATCACAGGAATAAAATATTAAATATATTAAAACTGTATTTACTGTAGTTTTAATTGAAATAAACACAGCTTTGGTGAGCATAGACTTATTTTCTATAAATGTGTATGTGAAACATTCAAAAATATATATGAGGGGGTTACAGTATATACACACACACACTCACAAAAACTTATTTTTGTGAGTATATTTTTTACAGCTAGACAACATAACAGGACAATGTCAATCACACTGACACTGTTATAAAGAATTTCACCCTATTGACCAATGCTTTGAGGCTATAATAACGTGAGCTTCAGGGACCATCGTATCAGCACAAGTTACAGTACTATATGAATCCCCCACCTTAAAAAACTCCTTTTTTAACGATCTAGTTATGTAATATCCTGGCAGTGTCTTGAGAGGCCGCACACAGGGACACAATAAGAGCACAAAGGTGGAAGGCAGTGCTGCCTGGATAAGAGGGCCTCAACTTGAGCGCTTGTTTTACACTGAGATTAAAAAAAGGAAGTAGGGAAGGTTGTTGAATTGCTCCCAGATTCCCTAAGGCATGTCTTCATTTCCTGTTTGACAATGGCACGAAACATTGGCAAGCCTTTCATTTCTATAAAAACAGCTCTCACTCAGCACTTTAGAAATGAAAGAGAGAATGGCATGATAAGGTAGATAGAAGCAAGACAGACAGGCAGAGGCCGGGACTCACTTGAGCTTGGCATCCCCTGTGTGGCAGGCTGTGGCTGGTAAACCCCCTGAGTGATGGCTGGGGTGCTGGAGGTGGCATTGGCAAACTGGGATTGTGCCTAGAGGAGCAAACCACATGTGAACATCCACTTAACTTCAATAACAGTTCTTTTAAAACACCAACTTATCTTCAGTGTTATCCTAAAATAAAACACATGAGAAATTAAATGATATTGGATGAGAAACAAACTAGAAATGTTGCAAGCAAGAAAGCTTAACCAACTTAACTATTTAAAACTGAAATATAATGGAAAACCATTTAGATTTTTTTTTAAACAAAAACAAATTTAAAAAGTACAAAAATACATAAAATCAATACAAATTAACTAAAAAAGAAAATATAAAGGGGAATCAAAATATTAATAAATACTATGGCCGCACTAATATATTTATATTTTAAACGTGATCATGATTTCTCCTTCTCTTGAATATTTAAGCATAATCATCTGCGATATTTGTGATATATCCAAACATGAATCTTGACTATATTTTTTTGTGATTGTGGTTGCTGAATAAATGCAACCTCTGTGCTACAATACATGTGCTGTAGAGAAAACGTTTATGTATGATAAATATAATTAAACTTGAAACTAGATAACGTACAATAAACCATGCGTACGAGAAGGGTTGGGTATCGTTTGGGTTTTTTTCGATACCGGTGCCAAATCGATACTTTTAAAACGATTCCGGTGCCTGAACCGATACTTATTAAAAAAAAAAAAATTTTATTATTAAAAAAATTCCAGGTCAAGTCTTTTTATAAAAAAAAAAAAACAAGCAGATAAAATTAGAAGAAGCATTAGAATAGAGATTGCTAGAGTTAGAGGGTCAAATGAAACGAAAATCGCGGGAGCGAAACACATGTTGCGGGAGCAGGCGGCAATGGTCAGAGATTCAGCGGAAATGGGATTAAGAAAACAGCCGAATCCCGGACATCACAAAAGGAAGCATTTGACTGGTGTTGTGGAGTAAAAAGGTTATAATTTTCTCTTTTGTTGGACAAAAGAGTTGTGCTTTTAAGTCGGAATGTGAAAACAACATGGACACTCTCGTTACTACAAAGACGTGTTGGATTTGTATTATTAGAGCTTTCTGACTTGAGTTCACGTGCATTTTCTCAGTCGGGAAATTATTTTTCACGTGCGGTGCCTGTTATGATTCTTCTTATGTCTGTTTCGGAGAACCAGAAGACAAATATTTCAATCGATCGCTCAGGCATGGCACCAAAATCTGCGTTCGGATTCGGTTCTAGTACATACCGGTTACATAGGTACCGGTGCCATATTGGTACCGGATTTCGGTACCCAACCCTACGTACGAGTTGACATTTTCTTAATTTGTGCTTATGTGAAAGCACAATAACTGTAAAAAGAAATTTCCCAAATGAAAAAGATTAAGATTAATAATCATGATTGTAAATTTTTTAGCAAAATGCTTCGTTTAAATATTATCTTGCAGCCCCTAATAGATACTATAACAGTATATAAGTAAAACACTGCTTACCCGAATGACCTTGTCCACTTTAAGGTCCTCTAGGGATGGATACAATGACATCCTGGAAAAAACACAACAGTCGCAGCATGAAAATGGAGAAAACAAGGCAGTGTGCAGCTAAAAGTGTTGAAATCCAGGAAATAATACTTTGAGGACGATCATATACAGCCATATTGCCTTAGTTTGTTTTTCAGCTGACTAGCAACCATATGACTCACATGGGAATTGAAACCTATACTAATTAGACGGGACAGATGAGGGAGTGTATTAGGAGCACACAGAAGACAACTCAGGAACAAAAACATGGTGAATTTATCAGGCTGCTCCATCATGGCCGACACTTTCATGAATTTGATTCTTTCTCAAACACCCCCCGTCACACACACACACAAACACACACCACACGGATGTGCCACAGCTCTCCAGGCATTAGCTCTGTGGTGGCGTTGCTTTCACTTGTGAAACGATCCACCTGTGAGTCCATCTGTGTGTTCTGCACAGTCATCCTCATTGATGTAACAAAAACACATCGATAAAACACCAGAAATCATAATAACTCCTACAATAACTCTGACTGCTCCTGATTTCAGATAGAGGAGTAACTATCACTTCACAACAGAGGAATGGGCACAGATAAAACTCTTTAACACTTGGTAACGGATGTTTCACAGCTCTCCAGGCAATAGCTCGGTGATTGCATTGGTTAAAATTCTTGCCTCCAAAGCTCATCAGTAGAGCATGTTGCTAGTCACACCAGCGATCATGGGTTTGATTCATGGGTATAGAATATGCAGGGGACGCAGGGGTTGCAAACCAATCATAAAATTGTCATTAGGAAAATACAGGACAAATATTATACATGATCCAGCAGTGTAGCCTATTTGATTTCATAGCCAAAAAAAAGTATTACATTTGTATTTAATTTACATTTCTATCCTCCAAACAACTCTGGTTTGATTACAAGGAAATGCATTAACTGATAAAATGTGTATATTAAAAGAAATGTTATTTGCACCGGATAAATGCTTACATTTAATAATGTAAGAGAAATAACATGTGTAATTTTATTGCTATTTTATCTGTTTGTTTGTTGATTGTTACATCAAACATTTTGTCTGTGGACAATAAATACTATTATAATTTTATATTTTTTTTATATTTACTTTTTGCATAATATGATATTTGTACTATATTTGATAAATTATATCAATAAGTTTCAGTCAACTATAAAGTTGCATAAATATTCATCCATTCTAGCATTGCATAAGTCAAGCATTATTATTATTATATTTGCATTAAATTTTATATTTAACAACAACAGCAGCAACTTCATATTAACAGCTTTCAGTCAGTAATAAAGTAGCACAGATAGTTAATCTATTCTAACATTACTTAAGTACAGCAATTAACATTATTATTTATTGTATATTTATTAGTGCTGTCAAATGATTAATCGCATTCCAAAATAAACGTTTTTGTTTACATAGTATGTGTGTGTACGGTGTATATATATATATATATATATATATATATAAATACACACCAATGAATGTATATATAAGAAAAATTATGTTTATATATTAAATATATTTGTATATAATTTAATTGATATTAATATATAATTGTATATATACACATGTAAATATTTTCTAAATATATAATGTGCGTGTATTTATATATACATAATAAATATACACAGTACACACAGATATATTATGTAAATGAAAACTTTTATTTTGGATGCGATTAATCACAATTAATCGGTTTGACAGCACTAATATTTATTTATATTATATATATTGCATATGTAAATTTCATAATATCAATATATTTCCATCAAAAATAAATTTGGATACAAAGTTATTCACCCATTTTAGCATTGCTGAAGTCTAGCACTGAACATTCTGAAGATGACATGCATTCTAAAGATACCAGTGAACATTCTGACGTGCCGTTTTAACACTTCCAGTGTAAGCAGACTCAAGCTATTTTCACAAAAGATATGTAGACATACTTCAATCCATGCGATTTTGAGTTGAGGACAGTAGCTACTGAGTATACATTATAATTACAACAACAAACATCCAACGATACATCACTACCATATACACAGGACACATTTCAGAGATATTCATCATAAGCTGAACACTCGGGACATTTACAACATTGCCTTACATGTAATGTTAACAACCACAATTGTTATTATACAATGAAAAGCAGATAATAGAGACTAAAGTTCATGATTAACAAAGTGCTCAGGGCAGGACATGAGCACCAACTCCACATTTGACATGATGATAACATCCCACCAGAAATCATTACTACAGAGCCAAAGCTCTAACTATTTCAAATCCAAACAAAATAAAACATTAAACACTGCCTGACTGTGCTCTTCATCTTACAGTGGAAGAGCAATGAGAAGTTAAGTGTTTTCCTGGGAACACATCCATTACTGGAAAGGGGAAGGGAAAGGGAGAGACAGACAGACAGAGTAAGCCAAAGAAGTACAAAGAAATTAAAGTGCTTAAAGACAGAAAGGAAGACAAGGAATGGAAAATATGAGAAGCATAGGAAAGACCAACAAGAGATATAATACAGGCATGTGATTGATTGATGCTGGCATTAGTCACAATCATATGACTGTGATCACATGACGTATTGTGCATTTTAGCCAATAAACCACTGCCTGTAGATCACTGGGTTACCGTAAACGTCACAACAACAGAAACCAACACCAGATTCAGGAAATGACAGAAACCCTGCTCAACGAGAAAAGCCTAGAGCATCTAAACATAAACGCATCATGAAACCTTAAACATGAGAGTAACGAAACATGACGGCATCACAAATACAAAAGACAAGCCTGTAAACATATACACTGCCCCTCAGGAGATACGGATAGGCACAAGTCTTCAAAATACTAATTTCTAGCAAGAAACATCAAGTTACAGGAAAACTGTAAATTTAGGGAGACATGGTTGAATGGTGGCAAATGAGAGAAACGGCACATCGCCTCACTTCCCTGAAGAGACATCCCGCATACTAATGGAGATAGTTAGTAGATGACTGGATAGGAACTAAACTGAAATGAGAAACGGGAACTATTTGGTGAGAATCTACAACCGGATTAAAGAGACTCTGGAGCTGCTTATTCCATAACATCAGATTTAAGACTCAAGCTAAAGCACTACATGCTCATACACGTTCACATATCGCACAAATCTGTGAAACACTCACAGACAGACATGACCATAACATAGGAAGAGAAAGAACACTCTCGCCCACATCCTCTTGAATAAACTCCCACACCAATGCACACAGAACAGCTCATGCAAACCAACACATACTGCCTGTTGATGTCACACACACCACACACAGACACAGATGACGTTTCAACCGCAATGTCAAAAACAAGCAGTAAGTATATCTGACAAGCTCCTTCCACACAAACACTGTTTCTCATCGCATAAAAATGTCTCTGTGACACTAAAGGGCCATTATTTCCTGTCAAGAGCACTCCAATAAAGTAGAGATGTCTCCAAATAGTGGACTAATGGAGACAGTGAGTAATCTTCTCGCAGACATGTGTGCCTCTATTGTATCTAGTTCAGCTACTCGCATGAAATTAAGTGAATCGACTGGGCACAAAGTGCGTCATAAATAAAGCAGGAATACAGAACGACTGGGAATCTCATCACTGAGGCTCTAAGTCATCTGAGGTCAACACCTGTTATCAGTGTTATTTTCATTAAAGTCGCAATGAAGTAGTTACAGATTTTTATCTTCCATATTATGACGTACATCCCAGTGAAACAAATTATCGAAATAGAACAAAATGAAGGGCTGGGTTTTTGATTGGATAGAGACTTGGACAGAGATTTTATGTGGAGAAAATAATTGGGAGGAGTCCGGCATAAGTTATGATATATGCATTGATGATTCACAATAAGATCAATAACAAACATTTAGAAATTATATAGGCTGAATTATCATTTCATGCCAACGTGAACAAAAACTGAAACATGAATACAAAATAAAATAATATAAACATAAATATAAAACGATGAAGAAACAGAAACTATACTACATTTTCATGACTCTAAAATTAATTAATACATAATAAAGTGAACACAAATAATTTTAGTTTTAGATACATAAACTTAAACTGAAAACAAATGAAAGAATAATAACTAAATTATAAACTATAACAACCCTATCTTTATCTAAACCTTAGTGTAAATCGTAATAAATCATACAAAACTAATGCAGGAAAAAGCAGAAGCAGCACAATGATTTCACACTCCCTAAATCTGGTTTAGATGACATCTTTGACTAAATGTGGTCTACTTTCAGTGCAATTGCAGAAAAAATCTTTAGTGCAAACTCAAGTTAGGGACAAAGCCAGCAGATAACTGTCCGACTGAGTGGGTGAGGGGCCTTTGGTATGGGGGAGAAATGGGCAAAGCTAATTTTCAGGCAGACTGAATGAGTGCTGAGCATAATAAACGACTCTTCCATGGCAACAGTCTGTAACTCTGTTGACTGAGTCCAGTAAAGGATCCATGTGGAAATATCCTATCCATAGCTTTTGGGAAAATGTAACGCAGCTGTCATGAAATAAATTATTTAAATATGTTATTATGACTACAAGCCCTTTCTCAATCTCCTCGTAACCGTCAACGATTAAATGATGTAGATTATTCTAGGCATCTGATTTATGTCATTATATGGGAAAGTCCCTTCAACCAAAAAAACCAAAGGAAAAACTAGGTTATCGCCTTTATTTAGCATCACTCATCTATGCCTTTGTTTCTTCGTTTATTTTCCGCTAATCTGTCATCAATAATTCAGTTCCTTCCATAATGTATTGGCTGAACATACAGGAATAATCGAAAGTAAAACTTGCTTCTCAAGAAACAAAACAGGACCAGGTTTCATATCAGTGACACATCTTGGGATTAATACCATTTAATAAGTCAAATACGAAAACGCATAAAGCTGTTTGAATGTTACGTGGCAAATATCTATAACATCAACATCGTCTTGTGATTCACTGCCGAACAATGTAAATCTGTGTGAACATTTAATGTTCTGCTCTAAATTACCCAATAACTTACCTGTAAGGCGATGAAAGCACCGGCCATCAGTTTTAAAAACTAAACTGAGGTTTACTCCTCTGTCACCTTAAACTAAGCATTATTAACACGATATGAAAGTAGTCTGACTGATACAGACTGTATGTTTGGCTGTTTTTAGCTCTCAAGCTAGTCACGGCAACTCCGTTAGCAACCGCACAATCATGCTAATTACACGAATAAAGTTATATTTCTTTCTCCTAAAAATAAAGACCAGGTGATACGATACAAAATATCCTTAGAAACAAAAATACAATAAATGTGACTGAATGCAGAGCGGAGTAAACACCAGCACGTCTTTGTTCTTCGTGTGTGTTAGCAGCAGCCTGTTTAAGTTTAGCTTGGGTTAGCCAGCGAGTCCCACATACCTGACTGAATAAAATCACTTTGACGATAATTAAAAAACAACATTTACATTAAAGAGTGTCGCGTCTTATCTTACCTTTCTGCGTTCTAACGACTGACTTCTGAAGAAATGGGGTAAATGTGATGGGAAGCAATGTAAACAAGCCGAGCACAGTAGACGGGACTCTTTTCCGCTTAAGGTTGGTGCAGTGAAGTGAACACTGAACAGAGGGGAGGTGATCGAGAGAAAGTACGTGCGTGTATATTACTTTGGTTTAGTAACACAGTTTACTTCCTGCTACCTCATTCATGAAGGAGGTTGGGCTGAGACTTCTATTTATACTTGTATTACTCATTAACTTAAGCACAGTCACTCTGACCGCCAAAAACTACCATGGCAACAATAACTCCAGAGTCCAGATATTGTTAATACTGTAAAATCACTGGACTGATCTGGGATCAGTTATTTTTTCTTGATGGCAGTGCTGGAATACCAAGTTATCAGTTCTATCCAATTTAGTTCAGTAACTACATTAAATGACTACAGTATGTTTTGGTTATGTGTTATTATAGCTATAAGTGGTTCCATAATGAGTAAATTGCTGAACCATACATCAGCTGTAAATTAATTGCTGCCCTACAGTTGGATCTCATTCTAAATCTGCTTCCACGAAATTTGAAGGTAAATGTATCCTGCTCTTCAGCTTTCATTTATTATATTAGAAGTATCAATAAAAGAACATATAGGATTATTAGCAGACATAAAACAGTGAAGGTACTTATCTGAAATGACTAAACATGTAAAAGCACTTCATAGCACATTTGAATTATTTTATTGTCTTTAAGACAATACATAAATATACAGTGCATTACAGTAATATTAAAGCCATTTATTTGATGCTTGACTTGTAATCACAGAAATCTCCAGCATCCACTCAAATATTTAAGCATCTACAGATTTCTGTTAAATTAAAAATGATTTCCATGTCAACACAAAAGAGCACTGTCACTGTATCTGCATCCAATATATTCACATCAATTGTCTTGGCAGTGCAACCTACATTAACATCCATGAATAGCTACAAATAATTTAGCATTAAAATGTATACATGAATGGCAAGTAGTGTACGTCACACTAGAGTAGGTCACGATGTGCTAGGAAGCCACAACCCCTTATTTTGTCCATCAATGAAACAAATTCTCCATGAGAACAGAAAGTGCCCATCAATTATAGATAATAATTAGCAAGTTAATGGTTGGTTTTGAGATTTGATGAGACAATGAACAGTGAAACATGATCACAAAATCTTTAAGCACTGAGAATGGCATGCGTCCATTGCTACAGTGCCAAATGCGCCACCTACTCAACTACACAACCTAATCAAACACAGAACAAAGTAAACGCATTTAAAACATCTCCAAATAGCTGCATGCTAATACAATACTGCAGAAATAAACAAAAACTATGTATAATAATGTTGCTCACCAAACTGACAGAAATAGCAGTTATCACTTCATACTTCATTATTTGTATTAATCAGCCTGGTCTAACATAAAGTTTGATTTCAGTTGATATGGTCACTTTGTAAATATACAAAACCAGTGGTATTCTGGCAGGTGTCAAACACACTAGCAGGCACAAGGATTGTTCAAGAGTTTGCTTCTTTGTACTAATTAAAACCAGCGAACCTGTTCAAACCTTACAATTCAATACTGACTGAAAATTCATACTTTATGTTAAAAAGCATTAAATGTAATTTATGTATTTATTAGTGCTGTCAGCATCCAAAATAAAAGTTTGTTTACATAATATGTGTGTGTACTGTGTATATTTATTATGCATGTATAAATACACAGCATATATTTTGAAAATATTTACATGTATATATATTCATATAATATATATTTCATATATAACTGTAACATATTTTTCTTAAATATATACATAATGTACACAGTACACATATATTATGTAAACAAAACGTTTATTTTGGATGCGATTAATCGCGATTAATCGTTTGACAGCACTAGTATCTATTAAATCTAAAGCATAACAATGCAATAAATATGCAAATGTTTATTTTCCAAACATAAGATCTAAATTAATTGCTGCCCTACAGTTGGATCTCATTCTAAATCTGCTTCCACGAAATTTGAAGGTAAATGTATCCTGCTCTTCAGCTTTCATTTATTATATTAGAAGTATCAATAAAAGAACATATAGGATTATTAGCGGACATAAAACAGTGAAGGTACTTATCTGAAATGACTAAACATGTAAAAGCACTTCATAGCACATTTGAATTATTTTATTGTCTTTAAGACAATACATAAATATACAGTGCATTACAGTAATATTAAAGCCATTTATTTGATGCTTGACTTGTAATCACAGAAATCTCCAGCATCCACTCAAATATTTAAGCATCTACAGATTTCTGTTAAATTAAAAATGATTTCCATGTCAACACAAAAGAGCACTGTCACTGTATCTGCATCCAATATATTCACATCAATTGTCTTGGCAGTGCAACCTACATTAACATCCATGAATAGCTACAAATAATTTAGCATTAAAATGTATACATGAATGGCAAGTAGTGTACGTCACACTAGAGTAGGTCACGATGTGCTAGGAAGCCACAACCCCTTATTTTGTCCATCAATGAAACAAATTCTCCATGAGAACAGAAAGTGCCCATCAATTATAGATAATAATTAGCAAGTTAATGGTTGGTTTTGAGATTTGATGAGACAATGAACAGTGAAACATGATCACAAAATCTTTAAGCACTGAGAATGGCATGCGTCCATTGCTACAGTGCCAAATGCGCCACCTACTCAACTACACAACCTAATCAAACACAGAACAAAGTAAACGCATTTAAAACATCTCCAAATAGCTGCATGCTAATACAATACTGCAGAAATAAACAAAAACTATGTATAATAATGTTGCTCACCAAACTGACAGAAATAGCAGTTATCACTTCATACTTCATTATTTGTATTAATCAGCCTGGTCTAACATAAAGTTTGATTTCAGTTGATATGGTCACTTTGTAAATATACAAAACCAGTGGTATTCTGGCAGGTGTCAAACACACTAGCAGGCACAAGGATTGTTCAAGAGTTTGCTTCTTTGTACTAATTAAAACCAGCGAACCTGTTCAAACCTTACAATTCAATACTGACTGAAAATTCATACTTTATGTTAAAAAGCATTAAATGTAATTTATGTATTTATTAGTGCTGTCAGCATCCAAAATAAAAGTTTGTTTACATAATATGTGTGTGTACTGTGTATATTTATTATGCATGTATAAATACACAGCATATATTTTGAAAATATTTACATGTATATATATTCATATAATATATATTTCATATATAACTGTAACATATTTTTCTTAAATATATACATAATGTACACAGTACACATATATTATGTAAACAAAACGTTTATTTTGGATGCGATTAATCGCGATTAATCGTTTGACAGCACTAGTATCTATTAAATCTAAAGCATAACAATGCAATAAATATGCAAATGTTTATTTTCCAAACATAAGATCTTTAAGATATATTTATGTTTTCTTTTTTGGGGATTACTATTCAGGGATAAAGTCGCCGATTCTTTAACAAGTTTGTACTTGCTCTCAAGCCAACAACAATCACAGTGTAAGAAAAAGTCACAAGAGAAGAGAAGTCTAAAGGGTTCCTTCAAGGGTTCAAGTTCAGGATTAAGGACATTGCAAGGTTTTTGATGATTTGGTGATATTGTATCAATTAGACAGGAAGAATGTTGGATTAAAATTAAAGGAGCTAAAGAATTATTTCTGATGTAATGTGACTAAAGCAAAAGATAAAATGTTGGAGGACTCTGATAAAATAAAGCACAGATCTTTACATAATGTGCCCAAAACTGTGGGATGGGATGCTGAATAAAGCTGGTTCTGAGAAGAATGACTAAAATATGGCCTGACATAAAGAGAAAATTGATTTAATCAAGTTTCTAATGTTAAGACTAAACCTTTTGACACTTGAAACATTTATAATATAATCAAAAATTAACAAAAGGCATTGTTAATGCATTAAATCACTCCAAACTGAGAAGCTCCACATCGAAGATGAGGGTCGCATTTGGGGGAATAATCCCAGGATGGCCTTTATTACCATAGGCAAAATCAGGTGAACAGGTCAGCTTTGCACGTTGTCCCACACTCATCTAAAAGTCACACAAATATCAGCATGAATTATGTGATTTTCTTTTTCATTGAAATATTAAGGTGGACTGGATTTGGTAGTGCTTCATTAGAACACCATTTAAACTTAATTAAACTCAAAAAGTGTTACGTGTGATTTTCTGAGTGGACAAAACACCATCACATACCTGCGCAATACCTTCCTCCCAGCCACGGATCACTTCCTGTTTACCAATCTTGAACTTAAATGGCTTGTCACGGTCACGGGAAGAGTCGAACTTCCGTCCATCTGTCAGAGAGCCTAAAGATTTAAGAGGAAAGGGACAAGGCCAGAAAAACAGGAAATGAGGTTAGAGCATCAGATAAATGGGCTACTTTATTATTGTTCTGCTCTATCAGGGAGATTTTCTGACTCTCTAACCCATGTTTAATAGCAGTAAATTATCAGGATATGAGACATGTACCTCTTTCAAGAACATGGCACAAATACAGTAACATATGAACATAAACACAAGCAGAAAAGAGTCACTGATCCACTCATCAACACAAAGCCGGAATCAAGTTACATTTACTCAGTACGTCTATACTCTATACTGTACATAGTAATTCTCTTTAACAACAATAGTTCTTTCTGACCTGTTGCTATGACTCAATATGAATATCTCCCACTCTTCTTCCCATGTAATAAAGAAATAATGAGATGGAAGCCATGAAGCACAAGGTGGAAATTAGTTTGGAGTGCTTTGCCTTCCTGAGTCCGATTCCTTCGTTATTTATATGAGAGGATTCGTGAGATTGCAGAACACGGCCCTGAACAAAACTCAGGTGTTTGAGCAGTGAGTGGATTCTGATTAACATTGTGTTCAAGGAATCAACAGATTTGTCTGTGATACATTACTCAACGCAGCAAAAACACATTGTAAATAAGTAAGAAACCTTTGAAGCTCCCCTGAGCGCAAATACAAATATGCTGATCGGGTCAGTCGCACTGGTGCTCCTAAATATTTTTTTTCAAAGTTGCACGCAGTAATTTTCATTCGCAAATGCACTGCTTCTCCATAGGTTCATGCAGGGCTGCGCAAGTTTTTTCTCGCGCTACCCTATCTCAACACCCAATTATTAGCGCAGTTTTGTTTTGTCTTTGACAGCACATATAGGACCATTTTTGAAATAGCACCATTCTACTAAACAAAATTTATTTCAAATTTAATTCAAGCACTTTCAAGGACTTATATTTGTTTTCAAGTACTTTCCAGGCCTTGAATCCATGCGTCTGATATTCAATTATTTTCAAGAACTTTCAAGAAGCGTGGGATCCCTGAATAAAGGAAGTTGTGGTGACAGACCAGAAGAAGAAAAAACAACAAGCTCTTTTTGATGTGAGCATTTGCTTCTGTCCCATTATCTTTTTTAAATTCTGTAGAATGCATTAATGTCACATGACTGAGCTGAATAAACACCTTCAGGCGGATCAGGACCTTCAATCTTCTAAGTAAACAGACAGAAACACATACCCTGCTTTCCTTAATGCGTCTTGGATTTTCTGTCGCCGCTCTTCATTGATGGGATAGAAGCGAAAAATTACCAAGCTGATGAGCAGCAGGCAGATTGGCACAGGAGCGAAGAGCACCCGCAGAGAGTATATGACCTCTGGATTGTGTTTACAAGCACCAGGCTTGTATCCTACAAAACTGAAGAGTTAGGGAAGGAAAACATCACATGAAGCTTTCACATGAAGCTGTAGGTTTAATGGGATACAAAAAAAGATGTGGTGCACAGATGTGAAAAATCTGATTGGAGGAAGCTCTTACTGTAATACCAAAGTAGAGACTCCAACAGACATGCCTCCTCCGAATTTGTTGAAGAAAACATAGCAGGAGTAGAACAATGGTTCTAGATCCTGGCATGATGGGTTCTTGACTTTGAAACCTATTCAACTGCTCGTTAATGCAAACATCTAATCAGCCAATCACATGGCAGCAACTCAATGTATTTAGACATGTAGACATGGTCACAATGACTTGCTGAAGCTCAAACTGAGCATCAGAATGGGAAAAAAAGGTGATTTAAGTGGCATTGAATGTGGCATTGGTTGTTGGTGCCAGATGGGCTGGTTTATTTCAGAAACTACTGATCTACAGGAATTTTCATTGCATAACCACCTCTAGAGTTTACAGAGAATGGTCCAAATAAACGAAATAGTGAGCGGCAGTTCTGTGGTTAAAAATGCATTGTTGATGCCAGAAGTCATAAGAGAATGGCCAGACTGGTTCAAGCTGATAGAAAGGCAATAGGAACTCAAATAACCAGTTGTTACAAGGTATGCAGAAGATCATCTCTGATATGCACAACACGTCAAACCTTTATGCAGATGGGCTACAGGACACTCCTGTCAGATAAGAACAGGAACCTGATGCTACAACCTGCATGGGCTCACTAAAATTGGACAATAGAAGATTGGAAAAAGTTGCCTGGTCTGATAAGTTTCAATTGCGATCGAATTTAAGTATGGTGTCATTCTGAACCGACCAAACATTATAATGACGAACATATCATACAACTAATTCCCAGCTGACCACCATCTGGGTTAGCGTAATGTTTCAGTAATGCAAGAGGAAAACATTGGGTGGAGTGAGGGCTTTAGTGGTAAAAGAGAGATTACATGAATGTTAAATTACCAAGGGAGTAGATAGAGGGCTGCCAGACTCGTGCCAGCTACCATGGACATAATAATGAAGATGGGTAAATTACTTTTCACTAGGGATATCACAATTAGAGCTGGGATATAAACCTGTAGAGGAGAAAGAGAAATGAAAAAGTGGAAACTATTTCAGGTAAAAAAATAAATATAAAAACTAAGGGCATGCTGATGGGCTGCATTTAATATTAACTTTACAAACAAATATAACTTGTAATTGTTATAGTATTCCTATTTCCTTTATATGCAGCCATAAATAATCTAATTAGAAACAAAGAGTGGTGTTCACCGATAGGCCGATGAATATGGTGGTCTTCTTGCCTTTTTTGACCAGTAGTGTCTGCCACATTGGGATGGATATTGTAGCTGATGTCTGCACAAAAAAAAGATGACTAAATATATAATTCTGTATAATTGAAAATTAATGGTATACATATTTAAAAAAATAATTTGTAACATAAATGTGAGACTGTTAAAAAATGTCAGTATGTTGTACTTTAATATAATATAATTATATAATTAAATTAATATAATGTAATGTGCTTTATGTCATAAAATATAAAAATTAAAATTACAAAAATTAAAAGTAAATTTTCAAAAATATATTTTTTTATATATACAGAAGGAATCTGTCTGCATAAGGTTATAAAAAGCTATTTTTACAGATCAGATCAGGTAGAAATAGCTCCTTGTTGCAGTACTTCTTACAATACACTTTGAAATAATGGATCCCTCACCAGTAATATAAGAACAAGATGCTGGAAATATGCTCCCATATTCGCTGCGTGAGTACAGAAAAGGGCAAAATTCCCCTGAGCCATCTGAAACAAATTTTAAATCCACTGTGTGACTAATGTCAAAACTATCATACACACCTGTGCATCTTTCTAGGCAATACAAACATGCTCTTTTGGTATTTTGATGTTTAACAACCATCAAAATACGTGCATAATTTAAACAGAAAAAATGGCTTACCTGGAAGGCTAGTGAAGCAAATAGGAAGCCAAATACAAGCCGCACATATGGAGTGTGTCCCACCACCATTTTCATTCCAGTTAGATAGGTGACATTTATGCGGTCCAGTTTACTCAGAGGGGCTAAAATGAGAAGTAGATATATTCAAATCATTATAATAGTCTTGAAGTCACTGCATTAAGTCGACTGGCCAAATACACTGCTTGGCCAAAAAAAAGTTGCACACTCTAATATTTTGTTGGACTGCATTTAGCTTTGATTACGGTGGTATTGTGTTTGACAACCTTGAAATGAACCATGAAATGTCACAAAGATTATTTCTATCAAGAGTTGCATTCATTTTTGGTAGAGATCTTGTATTGACAATGGGAGCACTCCCACTATCTGACCCTGAGGCAAACCAGTCTGTAAAGTCTCCCCAAATCCCAAAGACTTTTAATGGGGTTAAAGGGATAGTTAATGTTTCAGTAATGCAAGAGGAAAACATTGGGTGGAGGGCTTTAGTGGTAAAAGAGAGATTACATGAATGTTAAATTACCAAGGGAGTAGATAGAGGGCTGCCAGACTCGTGCCAGCTACCATGGACATAATAATGAAGATGGGTAAATTACTTTTCACTAGGGATATCACAATTAGAGCTGGGATATAAACCTGTAGAGGAGAAAGAGAAATGAAAAAGTGGAAACTATTTCAGGTAAAAAAAATAAATATAAAAACTAAGGGCATGCTGATGGGCTGCATTTAATATTAACTTTACAAACAAATATAACTTGTAATTGTTATAGTATTCCTATTTCCTTTATATGCAGCCATAAATAATCTAATTAGAAACAAAGAGTGGTGTTCACCGATAGGCCGATGAATATGGTGGTCTTCTTGCCTTTTTTGACCAGTAGTGTCTGCCACATTGGGATGGATATTGTAGCTGATGTCTGCACAAAAAAAAGATGACTAAATATATAATTCTGTATAATTGAAAATTAATGGTATACATATTTAAAAAAATAATTTGTAACATAAATGTGAGACTGTTAAAAAATGTCAGTATGTTGTACTTTAATATAATATAATTATATAATTAAATTAATATAATGTAATGTGCTTTATGTCATAAAATATAAAAATAAAAATTACAAAAATTAAAAGTAAATTTTCAAAAATATATTTTTTTATATATACAGAAGGAATCTGTCTGCATAAGGTTATAAAAAGCTATTTTTACAGATCAGATCAGGTAGAAATAGCTCCTTGTTGCAGTACTTCTTACAATACACTTTGAAATAATGGATCCCTCACCAGTAATATAAGAACAAGATGCTGGAAATATGCTCCCATATTCGCTGCGTGAGTACAGAAAAGGGCAAAATTCCCCTGAGCCATCTGAAACAAATTTTAAATCCACTGTGTGACTAATGTCAAAACTATCATACACACCTGTGCATCTTTCTAGGCAATACAAACATGCTCTTTTGGTATTTTGATGTTTAACAACCATCAAAATACGTGCATAATTTAAACAGAAAAAATGGCTTACCTGGAAGGCTAGTGAAGCAAATAGGAAGCCAAATACAAGCCGCACATATGGAGTGTGTCCCACCACCATTTTCATTCCAGTTAGATAGGTGACATTTATGCGGTCCAGTTTACTCAGAGGGGCTGAAGTGAGAAGTAGACACATGCAAATCATTTTATTAATCTAGAAGTCAATGGGAGAGCTGGGATATAAACCTGTAGAGGAGAAAGAGAAATGAAAAAGTGGAAACTATTTCAGGTAAAAAAATAAATATAAAAACTAAGGGCATGCTGATGGGCTGCATTTAATATTAACTTTACAAACAAATATAACTTGTAATTGTTATAGTATTCCTATTTCCTTTATATGCAGCCATAAATAATCTAATTAGAAACAAAGAGTGGTGTTCACCGATAGGCCGATGAATATGGTGGTCTTCTTGCCTTTTTTGACCAGTAGTGTCTGCCACATTGGGATGGATATTGTAGCTGATGTCTGCATAAGAATAGATTACATGTCTGTAACTAACAATATAATTGTATGTAATTGAAAATTAAAGGTATAAATATTTTAAAAGTAAATTGTAACATAAATGTGAGACCATTCCAAAAAAAATATGTTGTGATTTAATATAATTATATAATTAAATGGATATAATAAAATATATAAATATTATTTATTATTTAATATACTGAAGGAACCTGGCTACATAAGTTTACACCTATGAAAGCTATTTTTACGGATCAGATCAGGGAGAAATAGCTCCTTGTAGTACTTCTTACGATACTCTTTGAAATAATGCATCCCTCACCAGTAATATAAGAACAAGATGCTGGAAATATGCTCCCATATTCGCTGCATGAGTACAGAAGTGTCTGCCACATTGGGATGGATATTGTAGCTGATGTCTGCACAAAAAAAAGATGACTAAATATATAATTCTGTATAATTGAAAATTAATGGTATACATATTTAAAAAAATAATTTGTAACATAAATGTGAGACTGTTAAAAAATGTCAGTATGTTGTACTTTAATATAATATAATTATATAATTAAATTAATATAATGTAATGTGCTTTATGTCATAAAATATAAAAATAAAAATTACAAAAATTAAAAGTAAATTTTCAAAAATATAATTTTTTATATATACAGAAGGAATCTGTCTGCATAAGGTTATAAAAAGCTATTTTTACAGATCAGATCAGGTAGAAATAGCTCCTTGTTGCAGTACTTCTTACAATACACTTTGAAATAATGGATCCCTCACCAGTAATATAAGAACAAGATGCTGGAAATATGCTCCCATATTCGCTGCGTGAGTACAGAAAAGGGCAAAATTCCCCTGAGCCATCTGAAACAAATTTTAAATCCACTGTGTGACTAATGTCAAAACTATCATACACACCTGTGCATCTTTCTAGGCAATACAAACATGCTCTTTTGGTATTTTGATGTTTAACAACCATCAAAATACGTGCATAATTTAAACAGAAAAAATGGCTTACCTGGAAGGCTAGTGAAGCAAATAGGAAGCCAAATACAAGCCGCACATATGGAGTGTGTCCCACCACCATTTTCATTCCAGTTAGATAGGTGACATTTATGCGGTCCAGTTTACTCAGAGGGGCTAAAATGAGAAGTAGATATATTCAAATCATTATAATAGTCTTGAAGTCACTGCATTAAGTCGACTGGCCAAATACACTGCTTGGCCAAAAAAAAGTTGCACACTCTAATATTTTGTTGGACTGCATTTAGCTTTGATTACGGTGGTATTGTGTTTGACAACCTTGAAATGAACCATGAAATGTCACAAAGATTATTTCTATCAAGAGTTGCATTCATTTTTGGTAGAGATCTTGTATTGACAATGGGAGCACTCCCACTATCTGACCCTGAGGCAAACCAGTCTGTAAAGTCTCCCCAAATCCCAAAGACTTTTAATGGGGTTAAAGGGATAGTTCACCCAAAAATGTAAATGACCCCATTTACTCACCCTCAAGCCATCCTAGGTGTATATGACTTTCTTCTTTCAGACAAATACAATCGGAGTGATATTAAAAAATGTCCTGGCTCTTCCAAGCTTTATAACGGCAGTGAATGGAGGTTGAGATTTTTGAGCAAAATAAAGTGCATCCATCATAAAAAGTGCTCCACACGGCTCCGGGGGGTT